CGAGTGGGTATCGCAATATGTGCAAATAAAAAGTATTATTATTATTATTATTATCGCCTTTGTCGCGAGGTCTGTGGCGAAAACTACAGTCCTACAGTGGAAAAAATTCAAACGCTCCTTGCAACTAGTGAACACGGCGGTTCATTGGTTGTTGCCTTCTGGACGCAGCGCGAGACGCGACGCGTGGACGCAAAATATCTGGCTCCTCCAGATACGCCGGGATGCGCCAAAAAGCGCTGCGTTTCGTCCCGGCGCCGGAAGTGACGTCAAAGCGCAGGCGCAGACGCGACGCAGACGCGGAGAAAAGCGCACCATGTGGGCTAGCCTTTATGCGAAAAAGTAGACGCACGGGCTTTTTTAGAGTGATAGCCGCACTTAATATGATGCACATATGTCCCGGTGGCTTGTACGCACCGCTCTAAAACGAAAGGGTGTAGCCATTACACACACTTGTCACATTCAATATTTATCCTAAAAATTCAATTAGACGTACAACGCACTGATGTCGAACTGACGAACCCTACTTTTACGAAAGGCTTGATAACGGTGCGATCTAACATATTAAACAAGCTAAAGTCCGTATAAAAAAATATACCAGAAAACAACAAAAAACATTGAGGTTAGGGCCAAGAAAACCCCGATTACTTTTGTTGCAGTCAGTCACACGTGCGTTCCCTATTTTAATAGGTTGTACAACTCGGCTATCAAGCCGCTCGTGAAAGTTTGGTACCATCGGTTGGACGTCAGTGCGCTGTACGTCGAAATTAAGTTCTGGAAGAAAATAGATGGTTGAATGTTGTGAAGTTTTGAAGTGTATTATAATATATATGTGACAAGAGGAGTAAGAATATACCCTTTGTATTTTTAGTGTGAAGCTGTTGTAACTTAACATAATGTTGGAAAACGGGGCTGTGTGAAGATAACGTAATTAATGCCAAGGTACACGCGAGCTGGACCAGCCTCCAGAGTTAGTATTCGTATCTTTGGCTCGCATTCCATAGCCAAAAATATAATCCTGTTGAGCTGTGTAGACTGCACACTTGTGGATTCATAAACATAGGAATTGGGGACGTGCGCGACCAAAGATGTCGCTGTCATCGGCCTTCCACGATTGGACAAACGCACACTATGGCGTATTTAATACACTCTAAAAAAGCCCGTGTGTCTACTTTCCCGCACAACACTCGGAGAGCCAATCATCACAACTTACGGAGGCAGCCCAGTGAATGACGATGCCGAAACATATGTTTAGACTAAGAAACGTAGTCCGAGTTGTGCCATTAAGCGATGCAAAAGTCACGCTTGCATTGCTTAATGTCACAACACAGACTGCTCTTAATGTCACAACTCAGACTGCGTTGTGCAGGGAAGTAGACACACAGGGTTTGTTTTACAGTTTAGCCTCTCATCCTTCGCGTAACCCTGTGCACAGGAAAATAAACACGAAGTTTTTTTTTTATTCTTTAATCAATACGGATTTTTTACACACAATGCGTTTATGAGCTGGATATTATGCGAGAAGTGTCACGCTTGAGTGTGATGAAAAAATCGTTTCACAAGGAATCATTAATTGAAACCAGGGAGATTCACTATGGGGCGGGAATCGAGCCCCGGATAATACGATCCGCAGTCCGGAAGTCCTTGCTCCACGCCACTAGAAGGAGTTGAAAGATAGGAATCCGCTGCGCTGCGAGTGGCCGCCGACGGTCACTTCCGGAAGCACACGACTGTCCGCATATAGTCCGCAGGCGACTGTCGCCAGCGAGTCATACTTAGTCCAACCAGGGATGGGCAAAATACATGCAAATATGCATCGAAATACAAATACAAAACACTTCGCCAAAAATATATTTAATTACAAATCTAATTACATTTCCAAAAAAGCATTTAAGTACAAGATACAAATACAACCAAATGTATTTGGTCTCCTCAAAATACTTTTCCAAATACATTTCTCAAAATCTGCGTCAACGACTTCAGGGCACCTGCAACGGGTTTCTGGTATCTCATTTTAATTTTGCATCGCACACAAGGGAGTTAGTGTGCGAGGCTCTAGTATCGTAATAGAAATATGATCACAAAACAAAATGTAATCAGCTTGGACGTAATAGGTGAAAAAAGTACAGAGCTGCAAGCAGCTTTTTTTGTCGATTACATTTTGGTATAGACCAACAAAGAACCGAGACGACCAAGACGCGCAGCACTAGCTAGAGAATTTTTTATTGTTGCAACTTGCACCAGTTACGAAAATTTGGACGACCCGCCCATTTAGAATGTTCCAGGCAAGAATATGGATGGAAATCAGGGTGGAAAGCATCACAAGTTGTCACAGGCACTTATTTAGCCTGTCTGCCTGTGAACGTCGATTTCGTCACTATTCTTGCCCTGCACTAGCACCGTAATTACAAAGTCACTAAATGCTTGTGCTTGTTTGAGAGACACTGCATTCGGGTGCAGAACTCAGTTTTCTTCCTGCTCTGGACAGTGACAATATATTTGAAACATGTATTTTCGCCCACAAATTTGTATTTAATTACAATTGTATTTGAAATACCCACGTTTTAGTATTTAAATACACACGTCAAATACTATACCCAAGTTGTAATTAAATACAAATGCAAAATACACAAAGTATTTGAAATACGTACTTCAAATACTTGTATTTGAAATACTGCCCATCCCTGAGTCCAACTTACTTAGTCCGCAGGCGACCGTCCGCGGCGACTCATACGATACTTAATCCAGCATACATATTTCGCAAGCGAGAGTTGGCAGCAGGTGATGCTTAGTCCAATACATTTAGTCCGCAGGCGACCGTCGGCTGTGACTCATAGCCCAGCACGCTTAGTCCGCAGGCAGCCGTCGGTGAAGAGTCATACTTAGTTCAGCACACTTATCCGTGTGGCGAATGTGATGATGCGGGCTAAGCGCAAGCCTGCCCGAGTTGGGCTGCCCATGTCAAACCTCTGTGGGTCCCACCTTGGTTTTGCGGGGGCCAAGTTTGCGAAGAAGAGGGCTCCACGGCGGCAAAGCGGGGGCATGCCCAGCTTGGGTTGCATATGTAAGACCCCCGTCGGTCCAATCTCGGCTCTGCAGGGGCCACTTTTACGAAGATGGGACTCCAAGGGAGCCAAGCATGGGAATGCTCAACTTGGGCTATGCGTAGCTCCAGAAACGGCACTTTCCGCCGTTTTTGGTCATTGAGCCGGTCTACGGAACTCGGCTGCACCTAGTTTCTCTGTAGTAGATCGTGTTACCAAAAATATTCAATGTTTTTTTAGCCTAAAAATAAACCATGCGCATCACTTACGCATACCGTTTCAATCAGATAACGGAAAGTTCTAAAACTTGTCCTTTTGTCCAGACCGCTAGCGCTACATTTTGGTAGAGGCGTTTTAGTGCACGTGCAACAGGGGAATTGGAATTAACCTTTGATGGTTCATAACTTATGAAAGTTATTGTTTAAACTGGTTTAAACTTTTAACGGAGGATTCGTGTTTTTGCTTTTTTTACTGCGGGAGGGGGGGCTTCTGACAGTAAATTTAACGTCACGGGCGAGTTAATCGCTAAATATAGCGGGCAAATTTGTATTCTAAATTTAGCAGGCTACATGCTTTCGTTGAACCCTCATTTAACCCCAGACTTCCCCACGGACAGATTCACGGTTTACAGGCGTTTGGCGGGAGGATAAACATTTTTCTTTCCGAGAAATGGCAGTCGCAGGGAACATTGGAAAAAAACGAACAACGTTCAACTCTCAGCAAAAACAAGCGGCCGCGTGCGTGCTGGGGCCTGCGAAGCAGACAGCACGGGCGCAGCACAAAAACACGCATATAGTTTAGCTATTTCTGTCATTGCAGTGACTGGACACGAGCCAATGCCGGAATGTTTCGCCGAGGCATTGAATGTCCCTATCACCAGTCGAGCGCTCTGGCGGTGCTCGTGTCCAGTCCATGACCCGTATTCGACTGTTGTTTCGAAGGGGCAATCCACGTGACTGCGTTCAATATTGCAGTACTCGCGATCATATCATTAAGTTATTCAGGGTAGAGACTACAAGAACTAGACCGCTTTCATATTGCACCGCATATCGAAGAAGCTTCTGGGTCAACTGAGTTACGCTAAAGCATGCTTGAGTCACAGTAGTGCCAGTATGCTTGTGTCAAATTGGATAGTAGCACGTAAGTAGTGTATTGTCAATGAGAACAGTTAAATAAAATGCAAAAAATGATGTCTGTCCGAAATAAGATATTCTTTTTCTGAGTGACTTTTCTTTCGTTAGATCTTGCCTTTATATGTACTGATTGGTTCTTACAATGGGCATCAAGGTGTTATACTTCGAATCACCTTTAAGTCCAGATGCAGCCGACGATGCGAAATGATGGGACCAATCAAACAGCGTCAAAAGCGCACCATCATGGTGCTCGTCGTGTTTCCATATGTATTCCATCATCGCTGAATCAATCATAAGCAGAAAAGACCCAGTGATTTGCACTTTTGACGCTGCTTGATTGGTCCCATTAGCTCGTAGCGTCGGCCGCGTGTCGACTTCAGCTGAAACCAAGTATAGTTGGTATTGTTGATATGGTTTCTAGGGTGTTATCACAATATTTGTAGAGGTGTTTTCGCAGGTGAGTTGCCGTTTTTCTTTTTTCAGAATATTATGTACAAGAATTTAGGAAACAAAATCTACAATATTATTAATTCTACTAGTAGGCCCGCAGGGATCGGCTGAATCGGTATTCGAGTAGAAAAATAACAACGGAGGCGTTTTTTTTTGTATTGTATGAACGCAGCAATGTCTGCGTGTGCAGCAGTTTGGGGGAAATGTGGCGCCTTTGCATTTTGACCTTGACTGTCCGCAACCTAAATGCATCTGAAAACTCGGATAAGAACTGGCAGTCGCATTTCATATCATATTATTTCAATACCCGAAAGTTGGATACCGAGCGTTTCCCTGCGGAACGCGAGCAATTGTAACTGTGTTACTCCATTATCAGCTGGTGCTTCGTGATGGAGTACCTCCCAGAAGGCTCCATCCGGGACCTCGTTCGCAAGAAGGGTCCCTTCAGGGAAGAGACGGCTCGGCTGCTGTCCGCCCAGGTCGCCCTGGCCATTCAGCACGTGCATGAGAAAGGTGAGTGGGTCCTGAGTATTCAACGATAAACTTTCCTTATCGCTTACGCGTGTCGATATGGCGACTGCAGGATATTTGCACCGTGACATCAGCTCATCAAACGTGCTTATCGATAGCAAGGGTAATGCGAAGCTCATTGACTTCGGTCTTAGTCAGGTAAGTCTGTCGCCTCCGTTTACCAACGATGGTAGCGCCGCAATATCCACTTCTTATTCTTGTTCTGACAGATTGGCACGGAGGCCTGGTGCCGGTGTGGCTCACTTGCATACATGGCACCGGAGGTTATCAGGCAAGAAGTGTACGGTGAGGGGCTTTTCTCGTGTTTTAAAATTAGCCAAGGACCTCGTTTTCAACTTCGAAAAAATTCAAACTGAACTCTCACATCACGCGGTGGTGGTCGTGCTTCGAGCGCACACCTGGACTGGGGTATAGGCAAAGAAGCCCATTCGAGCCACACGTTAATTGCAGTTGCGTTTTGTTAGAAACCAGTAGAAATCTACCGTTTCGTCGAAATGCCGCTGAGTTCTGTAGACGGGAGCTGCACGCAAAAAGCAGGGAAAGGTGTGAAGCCTCAGTTAAAGTCGAGACCATCTCCTCTTGTGCTGACAGACTGAAAATGGCTGAGGACCAGAGTATGGCAAAAGCTAGGCCATCTTCCACTTCGCTGGAGACGAACACCCTCGGCAGCGATATCCGTTGAAGATGAGGAAAACCCAGCAAAGAATTTGACCGGGCTTTTTATTTTTGATCTCTTTATTCTTAATTCCGGAAACTTTGTGCCTGGTTTGATGCTAGTTCCTTGTTCCCTACCTTGTTTTAATGAAGTACAGAAACTGTAAGCGTTCGTTGATTTATATGGGAAGGTCTTACCAACTGACTGTCGTGAACTCATGTGGATGTAAACGCAGGCAGCTGAACGTGATCAATATTAATGTGTACTGCAGCAAAACGGTTGGCTTTGGTATTTATATATTTATGCATTGATTAAATATACCCTCAAGGCCCGACGGCATGATAGGGGGAAAGATAAAATACAAAAAAATGTTAGTAAAACTCTAACAAATTAACACCATTAATAATAAACCAAAACCTCGGCAATCAAACAGGTATGGATCATTGCAAAAATGGTTAGTGAGAGTGTTTAGGAGCCGCCTATTCGAGATTGTGCCGGCGTATCCGCCAAAGTCATTCATGACGCCGGCGAACCGATTGCTGGAGCATGGCCTTGTCCTGGTTCCTGTTATTGCCGGAATTCTTTAGAAAAAAAAAAAATCCTACAGGCCGTAGTTCCGTTTTGTCGCCGACTTTTACAGCTGGAATAATTAAATACGGCGCAGCTGACCATTTTAAACTTCGAGTGAGCGAACAAACTACAGTGCGAACACGGCCCCATAGCACACAAAAAATAGCACAACACCGACGAATGCCTTCAATATGGACTGCGGCGGGTTCCGGTGAGATTTACGAACCGGCAGTAGCGGTGCATCATGGCCTTGTGCAAGGACCCTATACAAAGACCTACATGAACGTACACTACCCCAATCAGTAAATCATTGCTCTGCGCTTTCGCCTTTTACGTTCGACGTTTCGAAAGCAGGAATTTCCGTGGTAATCACCCTAAGCAATAATGTCATTCCTCAGAAGGTATTTACAACTGCCCAAGGGATGAACACACCAGCAAGAAGTAAAGGTTCATGCTGTAATTATTTGCCGACAGCCCATATAATAATCCACTCAGCTGCGGTTCTTAGCAGCCATGTGTTCGGTTCCCCGCAATGCGCGTTGTACAATGGCGCGAGGGACGTGTTTTTTTATCGAATATTTCTTTTTGTGTTTGCGCTGCTCGTGCGCATCTGCAGTTGTCGTCATGAATTAACCTATGTAAAGGGGGTATTCAATCGATTTTTCACAGGCAGAGAAATCGCTTTTCTGCTAGCTACGGTGTGGCGAATTCAAAACCAATCTTCCCGGCCACAAGTCGACTGTTGACTAAAACTATCCGGCTATAACACAAAGCAAATTTATGTAGCACCACATCGGTCTTTCTTTTTGATTTTGTTTGATGCTAATGTACCAAACTATAAATATACGTACTCTCCGTTATATTTCAAGCGTGTTCAGCCTCCCCCGAGAACGCAATTGCTCTCGTGGAGGAGACGCAGGACGTAGCAGATGACAGTTACATTGACCCGTATGCTTAGAGCTACAGCTCAGACCAGCGTTCCAACATGACTATCCTCAGGTCGATCGATTGCACACTAATCGTTCGAGCGATCTTCTTGAACTCTTTAATGTAAAGCAGAATGCCAACCTGCGGCGGTATACGTCATCCCATCTTTCTGTTACACCACCGGTACTGGAAACACATGCTGACATCGGTGACAATTCCATCCTCGTGAAGAACGCACAGAACTGCCATGGTGATGTAGGTACAGTCGGCACGGAATGAAACGCGAACAGTGGGTGCATGGTTTTCGCCTAGATGCTGCACCACCTGAACCAGATGGGAGCTGCAAGAAGATGGCTCCTCCTTCGATGTGTTAGACTCTTGCTCGGTTCATCCAAACCTTTGGTGTTGCGTCTCTAGGTGACTCAGCGTGAGTCGAAAACCATGTGCTCCATGTTCGCGTTTCATTCCGTGCCGACTGAACATCCTATAATACAAAACCACGGCGATCGTCGGTGTGCGCTCGATGAAAGGAAACAAAACCGAAGGTAAAAGAGAAGACACGGAGGCATACGGGCAGAAAAACCTGCCTTTCTGGAACTAAAGTTTTCCATAACATCGTTGCCGTTGTCAAATCGTTGCGGAGTAGGGTAGCTTGGGTTGGATGAATTGCAACATTTGCGAGTTGCGAAGACGGTCATCTTAGCCCAGTGTACGAGGCACTGCTGGCGCTACTCCGGAGTGTCGCTGTTTCTAACGTCCTTCTTTGCTTGTTTGACAAAATTAGTGCTTAAAAACGTCAATGCTGCTGTGGTCACGCACGCACCGACACACAGCGGCTCCCGAGAAAACATATCTCCGCTCGACTCGAACCGCTCCTGAGAGCTTCGGATTACGATACCCGACTCAGGTGCCGCGCCGTCGGCGGAACTTGGTGTTCTCTTTCTTCAGTTCCGCACCGCGGATACTGCTTTCTTGCCTGGTTGCCGTATGGCCTTGCGATTTCACCACTTCACGCCACCGCGAAGTATCTCTACCCACGAGGGTATGGAGGAATACGGCGCAAGATCACCAGCGAGACTGCACAGGGAGACTTCACAACAGAATGGCAGTAGACTACGATAACTGCTCCTCGTCTTCGGCCATATCTTAACTAAATGAAAGTTAGTGTTCTCACCAACCCTTCCAGACCAGTTTACCTTCGAGTCTGGAACAACCCAAGACGCTACACTACCAAAGTGCTCTGCGTCTTTGAACCTGGACACTGCACCACAGGCAGTCTTCGCAGCTGCTGTCGCTGGATGAGCCAAACGCCGTTTAATAAACAGCGTGAGCGACGTGGCCGAAATACAAAACCGAAAGAAGATGAAGCGGGAGGGTTTAACTTACCTTGCGCTAGCCTGGAGAAGGAGAAAAACGTTTCGTTACTCTCTTCTTGTTCCGTCCGCACGGGGGCGCATCAGTACAACGGAGGAAAACGCGGCGTTGCTACCTTTCTTCTTTTTTGTACCCACTGCCTCCCTCCGATCATAGTGAACAAGAGCGTCGTCTGCTCCTCGTGCAGTGTCTCGCGTTAGAACGCCGGACGCCGGCGTTCGAGCATTGAGTGGAGACAAAAGAAGCTAGCCTTTGTATCTACCCGCTATCCGTCCAATCAGAGCTCGGTTTTCTGACGTCCCCGCGCGCTCTCATCTGTCCCTCAGTTTCTCACAGTAAAGCGCTCTGGAATTTACTGCCTTCACAGTTCTAGGGAAATCCACGAATCCCGATGCTCTTTGCAGTGTTAAAGCCAGTGATGACGCTGCAGTATTCAATTATAACAACTACTAGCACAAGCTTAAAGGGACACTGACACCCCTGACAAGTTTGTTTTCATTTTTTGCCAGGAAATTTAATACGGTGTCAGGACACTACCCAATGAATATTTCGCTGCAGAGTGAATATATTTTTCTAATGAAGTCACAAAACTCAACTGCTCCGAAACCGAAACAAGAGCACGGAGACTCATATGGCTGGCTGTCGTATAGAGGAGGGGGAAATGCGGAGGACTAGAGAGTTGGCGGAAGTCACGTGGCTATCGCTCCCTACCCAGTTTTTTTCCTCCCTTCCGCTTCTCCGGAGCGAACGATAGTTTCGAAGTAGCGGTCCCACGTCCGTGCAATGTTGGTCCACTGTTCGCCGCCATCACGTCGTCCAGCCCGCGGTACGTCGCCATATTGAGAATGATGTACTGTACACGTATGCAGGCACGTAGCCAGGATTTTGATTTGAAGGGGGGGGGGGGGGGGGGCGCCCATGACAAAATGCTGTATGAAGGGGAGGGGGCAGAGGAGGCCGCAGCAAAATTGAAGATTTCGGTGGGGGAAAAGGGCCATGCCCCCCCCCCCCTCCCCCCTGGCTACGTACCTGTATACTTCCTGTGGTTTGCGGAACATTATTCTGAATCAACGTATGTGCAGTTTTCTGGAAGCCACAAAAATTAATTTTATCTTATTTTTACTTTGAATATTTAATGTGGCCCTTGGATGACCCGCGACTTATATTTGGTACGCTAGTTTGAACGGAATGGGACCATGGAAGAGAATGAGAGCGCCTTAAATCAGCCAATTCTCAACTGACGGTTTTCGGGCGGAAAGAAAGCGAATTTCGAGCCGCAACTCGTGTTCTTGGTAGCTCGTAAGTCAAGTTCAAATAAAACACTCGGCGAGCATAAACGCCCTGTCAGTGTCCCCTTAATTTGGACGTAAAATGAAATATGCGATGTGACGCGCATGGTGTTTCACATGCTCATGTCACGTCGTCAACTTCATTATTTAGTTCTAACAATATTTTCGGCCTCGTCATCCATCGAGCACTCTTCGTAAATCGCAGCAATCGGTTCTACGAAATATTTTGACTTTTATTTGTTTATGAACGCTGTTCACCTCAAACAGGGGCTGCGACAAGTGTGGGGCACAAGTTGATATTTATTTATTAATTTATTGCAAGACCCTCGGGGACCAGAGGGCGTTAAAGAGTGTGTGGGTTACACACTCTGTAACGCAAAACAAGGTACAGATTTTGTTCTAACAATATGTAGAAGAAAACGAAGACAAAATACAGGAGTTGTGAGCTCAGCGCTGCTTGTGCTTCTGTGTCTGTAATAGAGTGAGTGTCTGTTTTGTGAGACGTTTATGCGCTGTGAAGGTCGTAAGATGGAAAATCAACTAGCCCAAGCTGCTGTGCTGAACGGCTCTCTGCGCGCGGTGTATGAGCGGGAGCGTGATCACGTGGCAAAAAAGAGACGTATGACTGGTCCAACGAGGGCGTAGTCTCCACCACAGTGTCAACTTAACGGTGAACTGAGTATAGAAAGGTGTCTTGGAGGATGATCCGTCTTCAATGGAGGCGATGAAGGGGGGAAGGCGGTTCCACTTTGAGTTGGTCTTAGGTAAAAGGAATCATAAAACATATTTGTGCTGCAAAGGGATGGCAACTTTATGCTGGTGATCAATGCTGGATGAAATATATGAAGGCTGTGAAAGAAGTTCCCGTTGCAATTATGATTTATAAAATAAAAGGTTTTGAGCCAGAGAACGACGCGACATTTTTCATTAAAATTGAAGTTTAGGAAGATCAAGATTAGATTTCATCAGCGAAACGCTGACGAGACTAAAAAAGTTAGAGACAATAAGCTCGCTAATTGATTCTGAACGGACTCAATGGCGTCGATGAGAGTACTGTCGCGGACACTATTAGCTATAACACGGCAGCCGTGACCATTTCGGACCCCCAACGCCACATAGCAGGGGCACCCTGAAACACCGCGCATATACCCCAACTATACCTGTGCGGCGGAATCGCTCTTCCAGGTTGCAATAGCACTCTTTCCTTGTCGTCTGGTCGGTGCAAAGAAGACGCCACCACAGCATAGCCCTGGTCGATGTTTGCCTCACAGGCTTTTGTGGGTGCCTCTTTTGGTACGGAGATTCCCTGACTCATGGAAACGAGTCAGCCAAACATCTAACGAAGGGGACATACCGAGCTAAGCACAGCAAGCACAGCATTTCTGGCACAAGTAAAAACCAATAACATATAGGCACCTGTCCGATCAATAAAAGCAAACTACCTAGATATGTACACAATCGTCGGCCACGATTATGCTTAGCTCGGTATGTCTCCCTTGTTAGTTGTTTGGCTGACTCGTTTCCGCAAGTCAAAGAATTTCCGTACCGAAAGAGGCAGCCACAAAAGCCTCTGAAGCAAACAACGGCAAGTGCTGTGACGGCGTCTGCTTTGCTCATAGCAGCCGACATGGAGAGAGTAGTGTGATCGCAACCTGAAAGAGTAATTCTAAGGCACACGGTGGGCGGGGTACACCATAGAGCAATTATAATGTACGGTAGAGGTTCAACGGGAGCTAGTGTATATGCGACTTTCGGGATGCAAGTTAAAGCAGAGAGCAACCTGTCTACTTTTGCAGAGCTCCTATGCATGCCTATGAGATATCGCGCGTGCATTTTGTCTCTTCGCCGGAAAAGTAACATGAATCACTTTTGTCATTTCAGTCGTAACGAATAGTATGTATGTACCTTTATTATCATTGTAAGAATGTAATTGCTCTAGTTACGGCTTTTTTTTTTTTTTTTACCTGTGAACGATGTTAAACTTTGCTATATTTAAGGCCCAAACTTCCGTTACATAGCAGGTGTATAAAAACGAGCGACGATTCTAACCAAAATAAAAATCGAAAGGAATGTAGAGTGTGTTCAAGGTTCACTAGCATTCCGGCGGTTCTTATACGTATATTGCAAATATGCCCGTCCTCTCACTATATGAAAATGACCCCGTCGTTCACCTTTACGAGCGGTTAAGAACATTCAAAACGTAAAGTATAAAGTATGTGGGTTATGAAAGATGTTTCTTTTTTTTTTCTTCTTTTTTTATTTCCTATGCCGGGCAGCTTTTATCGGGCACTTGTTTTCTGGCGTCTCCCTATTTTCAAACATTTTGAGCGTGCGGGTTATGTGTTGAACGTAGAACTAGCATCCCCGCACATATTCGATGAGCAGAAAAAATAAAGAAATACTTATGTATTGCAAATCGGACTATATTACGTGGCCTTAAATTTGTTTCGATCGTCTACGTGCACAGGGAGTTACTTATCCAGTGTTACTGCGTAGTTTTTGCCATCTCTCTTGGTTTTACAGATGTCCTTCGCTCGTTTGGCACGTATATCCCTCATGCTGCAAAGCGCCGGCGCCATGTTCGTGCTAACGGTTTCCGACAGTGCACATAAATGCCTGTATGAGGCTGTTTTAGCACCGCTTTTAATGCCATGGATGTGAAAGGCAAACGCCGTTACTGACCAATTATATCGACTGCCTGACTGGGAAATGTTCCAAGCTACCTAGTACGTACAAATTACTTGTGATATTTGCCCTTCTAATCCAGCGCAGGGAGAAAATACAATCACTTTTTCCCATAGAAATGCACTAGCATAAGACAATCTTCGACTGGTTGCTGTCTGCTTCAATTATCAACAGCACACTAGCGTCATTTGAACCTCTAGCGTCCCTTATTATAACTCTATGGGGTACGCGCAGTGTTTACGAGTGCGCCTGCTATGCGGCGCTGGAGGTACGGAACGGCCACGGCTGCCGTGTTATAGCTAATAGTGCCCGCGACAGTACGTTGTATATATAAAATGTGCGATAGAAAGCAAAAATGAAATACCGAAAACAATACCACTTATCAGGCCTGCAATAAACGCACAATTTATAAGATAATAACGAAACGATTTAAACATTGTATAAACACTGTGCCCTATATTGTGTGGGCAAATAGAAGCATTTGTGTCGTCTAAAGTGCGCGATATATGAGTTTTTTTTTCGTGTGTTTTAAAGAGTGGTTGAAACCGTTTTGTGCAGGCACGTCTGCGGATTGGTGGTCCTTCGGAATAGTGGTGTTCGTCATGCTGGTTGGAAAGACGCCCCTGGCCATCTATGCCGCCGAGAAGGGCGTCGACTTGCACCTTGCACGAAGGGACATTAGATACCGACGTAAGTCGTTTTCACTCATCGCACCCACCTTCCACCTTGATGACCGCTCAAAAATTTTTTGTTTGTTTTTTCTTAAATTGCGAGCGGAAAAGCCAATTTTAGCATGCTTGCAGTGAAGGACACGCCACGCTTACGCAATATACCACGTCACCCATAAAGTGGTGGTACATTATATTTTGTGTACGCATTATATATTCGCGCATCTTGAGAAATGTATAGGTAGTCCACGTCAGTAGCTACTGGCATGAAAAACAAGTCACAATAAAACATTCAATAAAGCCCGTGAGGTTAACTTTTACTAACAACCTAACAAGTCATCTATTTTTTTTTAATTAATGGCAGAAATATTAATTTACCGCGCGTTGCTCACAAACCAAAAGTCCCCCCCCCCCCCCCCCCCCCCCCCCCCGCTTTCCCAAGTTTTATGACTGTCTGACCATGTGATCGACAAAAAGGCTTTTCTGGCAAGTCTGACTCGTCCGTCCGTGTTAAGAAACTGCGATCCTGCCGCCCACTCTCTATGCGTCTTCAACGAGCGCCGAGTGACGGCTTCAGTTCCTGTTTCGAGAAGATTCTTGCCAGGCGTCGGTGCTCACCTCAAGACATACGAAATGGTGGCGGTCCTCACTGATGACACTGTGCTGGAATCTCAACCTCCCTGCCTTTTTCTTTGGAGCCCCGGTTATGACGCGAGTGTGAACGATCCCGTCACCCGATAGGTTATCTTCCCAGGTCGCACGGGCTCGTCCAAAGCAAAGGTAAGCGTTAGCTACCCCTTTCGGATATTGATGAGAAAATTGGTACCGCTTTAGTCTTATGGCCGCAGATGGAATTACGACAATACCATTTGCGCCTTGGCCAGAGACATCCAATTAAGGATACGCAGCGATTTAAATTGCTTATTTGCTTGCATTCACGGAGTGGGTTTAAGAAATTATCTCCGTGCCCCAAGAGTCCCTCTAAATTTCTGAAAGCGTCTTGCCTCCCCTGATCGTAGACTTCCTACGTTATCAGCGCGCTGCCACGTTCTCGGGTGTCGTTTCCATTTTGTTGTCGTTCGTTGGAAATGGCACCTTGATGTTCCTCTTCCATCGCCCGTTCCGGTTCGATGGCAGGTCCGTGAACCACCCACCTGTGTCTTGTCTCTGGGGCTGGGGCTTCGGGTTGCCCCAGAACGCATTAGTTGAAGACAGTTGCGTCTGCGACTCCCGCCCTCGTGAACATTGCATGTTGCGTAACTTTAACGTCACCACAAACCGAATTAAAAAAAAAATTAATGCAAAAAAGCATTCAAAGATATTTCAACATAACAGTAAGGTACATGGGTGAAATTAGTGTGCGGGGAAGTCAATGCCATAATGAGCGCAATGAAATGTTACTCCTAAAATATGTATATACGGTTTTGTCAGCAAGTCCGACTTTATATGACGTTGTCAATAGGAGATTTGAAATGCGCCCTATGACTTATGCGTCTAAAGATAGAGATCCAGGGGTGCGTGCTCTTGCAGTACCGTAATAGTGTGAACTGCCTTATTCAACCGATTAATAGGGCAATGCACTCTAAAAAAACCATGCGTCTACTTTCCTTCGCAACACTCGGAGAGCCAATCACCGCAACTTACGGAGGCAGCTCAGCGAATGACGATGCCGAAGCATATGTTTAGACAAAAGAAAAAACGCAGTCTGAGTTGTGACATTAAGCAATGCGAACGTGACGTTTGGCATTGCTTAATGTCACAACTCAGACTTCGTTTTTTTGTCTAAGCATATGTTTCGGCATCGTCATTCGCTGAGCTGCCTCCGTAAGTTGCGGTGATTTGCTCTCCGAGTGGCGTGCTGGAAAGTAGACGCGCGGGATTTTTTAAGAGTGTATGGTGTTCAATATGTTCTAAGCATTCACTCGAAATGCTCAAGCTACAAAGAATTCCTAACATAATCTGCGCATTCGTGGAGGCTTGCAGCTGGCCTTATGCATTACTGCTGCATGTTTGAATGAAGCCGGTAAGACTAACTTATTTGAGAACCCCAGGACGTACGTTGTCAGTGCAATAGTGTGGACCAGGAATGGGCAGTATTTCAAACACAAGTATTTGAAATACATATTTCAAATACTTTGTGTATTTTTAATTTGTATTTAATTACAAATTGGGTAATGTATTTGACGTGTGTATTTAAATACTAAAACGTAGGTATTTAAAATACAATTGTAAGTAAATACAATTTTGTGGGCAAAAATACATCCCTCAAATTTATTGTCACGACTCATTTTGCTCATCCTAAGACGTGTTCAGAGCAGGAAGAAAACTACGTTCTGCACCGAATGCAGTGTCTCTCAAGCAAGCATGAGCGTTTAGTGACTTTGTGATTACGGTGCTAGTGCAGGGCAAGAATAGTGACGAAATCGACGTTCACAGGCAGACTGGCTAAATAAGTGCTTGTGACAACTTGTGATGCTTTCCAGCCTGATTTTCATTCATATTTTTGCCTGGAACATTCTAAATGCGCGGGTCGTCCAGATTTTCGTAACTGGTGCGAGTTGCAACAATAAAAAATTCTCTGGCTAGTGCTGCGCGTCTTGGTCGTCTCAGTTCTTTGTTGGGCTGTATCAACATGTAATTGACAAAAAAAGCTGCTTGAAGCTCTGTACATTTTCACCTATTACGTCCAAGCTGATTACATTTTTTTGTGATTATATTTCTATTACGTTACTAGAGCCTCGCACACTAACTCCCGAGTGTGCGATGCAAAATTAGAATGAGATACCCAGAAACCTGTTGCAGGTGCCCTGAAGTCGCTGACGCAAATTTTGAGGAATGTATGTGGAAAAGTATTTGGAGGAGACCAAATACATTTGGTTGTATTCGTATCTTGTACTTAAATGTTTTTTTTGGAAATGTAATTAGATTTGTAATTAAATACATTTTTGACGAAGTATTTTGTATTTGTATTTAAATACATATTTGCATGTATTTTGCCCATCCCTGGTGTGGACATACTAACTGCCACGCGGAACCCTTGCCTTCTTTAAGGTTCCAGGGAACATAAAATGTCTAAAGAAAAAAAAGGTGCATTTGCGCCTAAGCAGGAGGCTCGTGTGACCTGCTGGTTCTTGGTGGTGCACTTTAATGTAATATTCCAACCTGCCTTACCTATGAGGAACGATACTTAGTTCAGACATCTGCATTGACGCCGTTGCGTTGCGTTGCCCTGTGTTACGACATATTGTAGGACACGTGTTGGCAAAGCGACCATTAGTAGCATCTCGTCGTAGCAGTCGTAAGCGGCCTTAACGCTGTCGGCCGTACTCAAAGGCAAATATGTAGACCAGCATTTACACTCACTAAAAAAACATCAACAAAGGTTTCGAAAAGATGCGTTTTTGTTTTTGTTTTTGTTTTTGTGCCAGAGTTTTTTTGTTTTTTTTAAGAGAAATTAATACAGTTGCTTAAACGTTTCCTTGTGTTTAGTCTTGAAATTTATTGCCTGAAAACAGTATCTAATTTTTCTTAATATCCGAACTAAATAAGTGCCACTTCTCCGAAATAATTCCTATGATAGTCAGAGGTGCAACTGTGGCACACTCTACACATATTTAAGATGTATGTATTCAGTAGAATAAACCAAATCCACGAATTACCTGAGGAACTTTGGAAATATATAGTGGTATATATATATATATATATATATATATATATATATATATATATATATATATATATATATATATATGGCACCTATATCCATCCCAAAAGTTCTGTTCGGCGCGTGAGTTTAAAATGCACCGTTCGTTAATTTTGCTTAAACGAGCCCGCACGCATGTGAATTTTATTGCACGGCACAGAACTTGTGCGTAGAGATTATAAAGTTGCCAATCAGACGTGATGTAACCTTTTACCACACCTACTAGCTGAGGCACTGGGGCGATAGGACGAAACTGACCTGAAACTCAGACTGGTGCTCGTTACTTGAAAAATGAAATGGATTACAGTTACAAATTACCGAGCCTCAATGATGTAACGAATTACCGCTACAAATTACTTTCGCTAAAAAGTAACGGATTACTTTACTGCTTACGTTACAAATTACTTTCACTTTACTTTTTTCCATACACTTATTCAGAAAACAACATAAACAATTTTGATATTTTTCGAAAACTTTCTGCAACACTACTTTTCATTTCTTGTACGCCCTATTATGGTAGTCCTTGTAAAAATAAAATATTTTATTTAAGAGAAAGACTTTAGGTGCACTCCGTTCCCCTGTAAGCTGACAAGGCACCGAAAGCTGCAACCACACCCGCCATCCCGCTAGCTCAAGGCCTCCAGAAATGATCCTTGGAATTGTGCAGAAAAAGCTGGCGGTGCGCATACTCAGTAGCAGTGTCTACTTCCGCTACGAGATTCAGAGCCAAAGGAGCGATCTACGAAAGCTCCCTTTTGACTCGGGCGCTTCGCCTGTTATTCACAAGAAAAAAAAAGAAAAAAAAAAAACTTGGTTCTAACGTTCCAATGTACAGCCAATGCAGAATGCAGGTGTCCCAGCTTACCTTAATGTGTTTCTGTAGATTAGAGTTTGTTGTTCTTGCTGATGACAATGTTTTTTTGTTATTTTTTTTTGGCAAGCAAAGTATTCATTGAAACTCTAGGTTTTCGTTCTCCTTAATGCCCTGAATTTTGAACATCTCATTAAGAGATGGCAATGGAGACGACGGACACTCCATGACCGAAAATTCGACCAGTCAGAGAAAACGTGGCGGTTAAGGGTTATCGATCGTTCATCGGTTCTCACTTTCATACCAATATTCGTGGAGGCCAGGGGAGGGTAGGGCATGGAGAGCGAGAGAAGCGGTGGCCATCGATCCCACAAAACAATAGAGGATCACACCACCTTCACGCGTTCTCTCTCTCTCTCTCAGCACTCCTAAGATGGCCTACCTACCCCCCCCCCCCCCCCCCCCCCCCACCCTGAAACTGTAAAGGGAGGATTGAACTCGACCACCA